GGGTTTCTGAGGAGCAGCTGGTGGGATTGAAGCACTGAGCTTTCAGCAGACCAATGCTTATTATTCTACAGCACCATACCAGAAAGCTTAAAGAAAAATGAATGTGCTCAATTTTGAAGAGTTAGAAACAGAGCTAGAACACTCCTTGGAATAGGTGGAGAAATAAGTCTATCAAAACATGAACTATCATGTTTTTTTTATTAATGAATTGTTAATTGTTGTGGTTGTTAAATGCTCTCAAATTGGTTCCAACTCATAACAATTCTATGTAGGGTTTCCGAGGAGTGACTGATGGATTTGAGCCATCAGCCTTTCAATTAGCAATCCAGTGCATATCCTACAATGCCACACTAGAGTGCTTAGATTAACAAAAATGAATCTGCAAGATTTTAAAGAATTAGAAACAAAGCTAACATATTCTTAGGTATAGATGGAGAAATAAGTCTATTGCAAAACATGAACTATAGTGATTTTTATTTACTTACTAAGGTATTGAATCAGGTAGGATTTATATTGGTATTTAATTCATGTTTAGTCTTTGAAGGTATTAGTTAGCTTGTATATTGTTGTTGTTGTTATGTGCCGTGAAGTCGTTTCCGACTCATAGCGACCCTGCACAAGGTTTCCGAGGTTATAAATCCGAGGAGCAGGAAGCCTCATCTTTCTCCCGCGGAACAGCTGGTATTTTCAAACTTCTGACCTTGAGGTTGCAGCCGGATTCGTAACCACTATGCTACCAGATTGCTATTTTGAAAAAGGTAATTTTTATAGATAACAAAAATAGCTAACATATTTGCCATGTGTTTTAAAATTCAATAACCTTATACTGATAGTTAAGAGTCCTGTTGTGGCACTATTGGTTAAGCACTGGTCCTCAAGGTTGGCTTGAACTGCAAGGTTGATTGTTCAAACTCACCAGCCATTCCTCAGAAACCCTATACAAGATCGCTGAGTTGGAAACGACTCCACAGCATGTAACAACAACAACAACAATATACTGATAATTACTAGTGTTTTGATTAATTACATGTTCTGACATCAATATTAAGGTTCATTTGATGTTATATCATTAGGTTCCACATGCTTTAGTTCACAAAGAAAATTCCAACATAAATTAAAATAAAAAATAAGTCCTCACTAAACACAACAAAAACAAAACCACAGAACTATATTAAAAAACTACTTTCAAGTAGTACTACTATAGTCACATCCCATATATGAATATGATTGAATTGTACCCCCCAAAGAACATCCTTGAAGAGCACAGTTAGTATGGATTGATTGTATGGTATAAAAATTATACCATATACCACATAATATTTTCATATGCACATCATTTTATTTTTATTTAGCAGGAAAAAAAATTAATTCCTTCATATTTCTGGCAGCATAGTGGTTATGAGTCGGGCTTTTAATTGCATAGTCAGTAGTTCGAAGCTACCAACAGTTTCATGGGAGAAAGATCAGAGTTTCTGCTCCCCTAAAAATTTGCCGCCTCAGAAACCCTATACAGGGTCTCTATGAGTCGGGTCCAATTCCATGGTACACCACCACCACCACCACCAGAGACAAAAGCTGAATATCAACAAACTAAGGAATAGAACCATCATAGAGAGAGAAAAAATAAAGACTCCATAAGAAAAAGAAGAGTAGGAGAAGAAAAATGTGGACTTTGCATACCATAACAATCTATTTAACAATGTATTTTAAATCATCTAAGCACTAACAATAAATGACTATCTTTTCCAATACTTAGAAATTACAATCTAGTTTGAAATAAATCATATTTGCCATGTATGCAGAATTACTCACTTAGAAGCTATAACGGATTGAATTTTATCTAGTTAATGTTGTTTTCTTTTAGTTAGTTGTTGTTGTTGTTAAGTGCAACCTTGCATAGGGTTCCAACAACCTCTGATTAGGTGTCCAATTCTTACGGTATAGCACCACACGGTGCTGTATCAAATATACTCTTTCATTAAGAAAAATAAGGAATAACATATCTTCAATATTTCGATTAATTCTAGTGTCTTGGAAATTCTTTAAATTAACATAGTAAACTAATATGTATAATCACTCTGTTTTATCATTTTATGAAGTGTTTTTTGTCTTTTATATCTTTCTGACACAACTGACAGTGCTAGAATTTTTATCTAGTTGGGTCATTTTGTTCAAAGTCCACTGCTATTTCTGTGATTACCACATTACTATGTAGAATACAAGTATATTAAATAGTCTATGGAATATAATAGCAAATGGCTTGTATGTTCAGCCACTAACCAATAATTGTAGATCTAAGTTCACTTAGATATGCCTGAGAAGAAACGTTTGGTGATCTACTTCTAAAAAATATGCCATTCTAAACCCCACAGACTATTTTTCTACCTTGATATAGATTTACCATAAGTTGGAAATCAACTCCAGAGTAACTGTTTTGCTTTGCTTTTAATGCTTACATGATATTGTTAATGGCAATAGTATGCTTAGAAAAATAAAGTCTTCTAATGTCCTCAACTTTACAAAAATTACATTTTATACTCCGTTTTCACACTCCTTTTTCATCTGCTGTATTCTAGCATCTAATTAGTTTAGTTATATGCTTTTATGTCTGTTATTTTGTTTTCTTTAAAGTAAAAGTGAAATTTAGAGACGGCATCTAAGAGCCGCCTTTGAAGACTGCAGCACTGATATATTTTAATGTATAACATACATATTGCATTTCTCAAGAAAAATATATACATGACCTTTTTCAACCACACAGCATTTTAGTGAGGAAGAGTATTATGAATGTACTCCATTTTGATATAGAAAATAAAATGAATTTCTACTAAATAATACAGCAAGTAGATAATGAAGATAGAACTAAAATCCTTCTCCTTAATTACCAGTCAGGTGCTCAACTCAAATTCTTTATATTTAATAGACTAAACAAAACAAACAAAAACTAACTGCCATCAAGTTGATTCTGACTCGTAGCAACTGTACAGGACCAAGTTGAGTTGCCCCATAGGGTTTACAAATCTGTAATCTTTCCAGATGCTCACTGACAAATCTTTTTCCCTGGGAGTGGCTGGTGGATTTGAACCACCAATCTTTCAATTAGCAGTCAAGCACTACTAACTGTTGTACCACCAGGGCTTCTTACTTAATAGATACCTTCAGTATATTATTGATCAGAGAATGTTTTTGTCTTTTATATCTTTAAAAAAATGTAGCTGTTTAATATTTCTTTTCATGATGCCACAAGTTGTACTACTGTTGAAATGAGTGAAATTTGTGAATCATGATTTCTTCCTTGCCCTATTTCTGCAACATAAATGCTTACCATTAGACCAACATTATAAATAAGAAGGGGCTGCAAAAAGTTCACGTAAAAATTTCATTATCTTTTAATTAACATTTCCATTAATTTTTTGAAATCTCATTGTAGCTGTGGTTATTAAAAAGTCACAGAATACTTGTTTCTACATTTAAGTATTTTTACATTTTTTTTGTATAAGTGGAATTCCCCCAAATAGCCACTTAAAGGACTAGCTAAATATCTCTTTATATATTAAACCTACTTGAAAACTCATGTAGAGTAAGACAGAAATATGCATCAATATCTGTACAAATTTGCCTTCTCGCTAATGAATCTTGTTTTCTATTTCAGACAAAGTACTGACCTCTTGTATGAGTGCAGACTATGTTCAGTGCTCTCCTCCTTTCCTGAACCATCTCTTTTTCCCATCATGTTCTCAGTAGTTGCATGTAGCTCTTAAAGCATGGTCAAACCTCAGGTATCCAGAATCAGCTTTGCATTTGCAACTCTAATAAATCTAAAAGCCTAGCATTTTCCTTGGTTGAGAATTTCACATAGCTGGACACGTATTATCATTAAATGTCACTGAGTCAGTCCCAATAGTGACCCTGCAAAGGGTTTCTCAGAAGCCACTGGTAGGTGTGAACTGCCAACCTTGCAGCTGTTGTGGTGGATGTTAAGAACCATTGAATAGGTTCTGCCTCACATTGATGCTGCACAGCATAAGCTAGTGAGTTTGAACTGCAAACTCTGTGGTTCAAACCAACCTTGAGGTCCAATGCTTTATCCTGCAACACCGTACTAATCAGTCCTTATCCTACAGTGTCATACCAGGACTCCAAGAGGACACTTTCATTCCATTTTAAGTATATTTGATGTCAACATTGTCTGAAATTTCCCTTAATACAAAATTCTTGATTGTATTGATGCAGAATGAATCAGAAAAAAAAAAAAAAAATGGAGAAAATGTAATTTTTCTGTTGCCCTAAAATCCTGTATTTTACTGTAAGCAAATGAACAACAAAAACCCTTAATAAGTCTAAGCATCAAGAACATATAGATGAATAGAAAAAATATTATTTTACAAATTCTATTACAAAAAAGGCAGATTAAACTGAAAACTAGCAAATGTAAAAATTCATCTGATGTCAACTGATATCAGAACATTACATTTGTTTTCTTACTTTTGCCGTAATTTAATACTTAATTTTGCCATACTATAAAATTTACTGCTAAGAAAATGCAGCAAAAATTGAAAATATGGATATCATCAATGAAAAGTTTTCTTATTATGGACTCATTATTTTTATTTTTACATGAAGCATATTTTTATTGAACTAAAAAGCATTCCAAACATGAAAACTTAATATTGAAACAAAACTATGATGACGCAGAAATTCAAACACCCATATAATATTGCCCTCAGTGTAAACTGAAGAGTTATGTTTAGAAATATATCACAATAGTGCTTTTAGATTAAAGAAAAATAAATTAATTTTTTATTAAATATTGTTTTAGTAACCAAATCATCAGTATAGATCTGTAGGACATTAGATAAGTAGCTAATTATCTTTACTCTTTAGTAAAAAAGTAAGATGTACTAAAACTTTTTACATCAAAATATGTGTATTTCTTTAGAATGGTATTTTCCTTTCTCCCAATCTCCTACCTTCTCTTCAAGAATGCATTCTCCCCTTACCTTGGCAATGGTTTCATGAAGGTTGAAAGAAGAATCCATTTCTTCAATTTTTGTTGCACATTTAGGGAAAAAGGCCTCAGAGAGGAAGCTTGGACCCTGTGGCAAATCAGAAAGGAAACATTTAAAATCCTTTATTGATTTTGTTCTTCAAGTGCTTATTGGATTTTCTTTAAAGATTCAGAAGGACTCTAAATTGCTATAAGGTTTTTGTTGATTGCTGGACTTTATTCTTCTGATTCAATTAACCCATCACAGATTATTAATAAATTAAGAGCAGTATTCTATACATCTTAGCATTATATGTATGTAAAAAGAATATCTCCTTAGTCAAAAATGATAATTACTGACATTTTGAACATTTTTTCTTTTTACCAGATGTATTTTTATATAAAGTTAAGACACCTTGAGTACAAAATTCAGATATGAAAGCTCTTCTCTATGTTATGTATTATATGATATTTTTAAAAACTGTCAGAATGGAATGTTTTTGACAAATACGATTACCAACTAGAAAAGCCTACACAAAAGTATGCATGATATTTTAAGTACTTCAAAACTAACTTCAAAACAGTTCTAAGATATAATTGCTTTGTGACTTTATATGCTGCTGATAACACACTGTAGCAGACCCTGTGTGTTATGATAGTTGAAATGATCCAGAAATATTATAATCACTTCATTTTGTACTTGCAAGCATAGTCATGCTTCAGTGTGCAAAAAGACATGAAATGCTAGTACTAATACTATGTTAATCAATGTTTTCGTAGTTGTCAACATCAATATCTCATGAAATATTCTTCAACATATAAATATAGATTTTACTTGAAAACCTGAAGGAACTAGAATATAGAAGATTTGAGATAAAATATGAATGTGGATGGATGGAAAAAAGTTAGATAAATAGATAGGTAAATATCTTTTCAAAGGCTATCATGAGAAAGATAGATTCATCCCTCTCTACATGAATGAATCACTACTACAAAGCAACAGATTCAGTTTTATTAGAACCATTTACTAGAGCTCTCTATTATTAAAATACAGTTCTGGTGTGGTGTTGTAGAATAAATTTTGGACTGTTAACCGAAAGGTTGGTGGTTCAAACCCACCAGCTGCTCCTTGAAAACCCTATAGAAGGTCTCTCTGAGTAGGAACCAACTCAATAGCACACAGCAACAATCAGCAGAATAGATTGCTTTGAAGCACAGCATTGATTTAATGGAAAGTTAAGATGTTGTAGTTGAGGAACTCTGTAGTCATGAAAATAAGAACTGAAATCAGCATAATTCTAATTCTCCTCCTTAGAATCTCCTTAGGTGATTTAGTGCAATTTTCTCACTTAAACTATTAGTTTCAGGTGAATAGTTGTCAAATCTCCTACATTCTGCTTTCTACTATGTTAAACAATTCTAGAACAAGAAACACTTTTCCCTACTTATGTTACATAATAGTGAGATTAAGCAAAAGCAATTTAGCTGCATGCTTCAGTATGTATCTACTTTGTATACAAGTTTTGAATCAATCAAGAAAAATCCCTATCAAAGTTGTTTATCAAAATCTGTTTCATGTTCTTCTCCTTATTGCGCTCACCATCTAAAATGAATGTGGCATAAATTCTACCCAATTCCAATCAGAACTCTTTTTTGGAAGACATGCCATAAACTTACACAGTCCACAAAACTCAATGTATACTTTTCTTTAATTTCACTATTTAAACCACTAGCACAACTCAATTAAGTTAGTATTCTTCCTGACTATACTTAGTTTAATATACATTGCTTATCAAAAGGGTTTTCTGGAGGTCTTTCTGGCAGTCAGCAAAGACCTCAGCTAAAATTGTGGTTTTAGCATTTAATATCTGTGACACCTAAGCTTTCTTATTTAAAACACAAAAATTCTGTTACTTTATCTATTCTGTTATCTAGGTATAAGGTATCTTACTTGGGTATTTATATTTCACAAAGGGATAGAATCATCCAATGTCTGGCACATAACAGTTATTATGGTACTGATGAATTTTCTAAAAACAATAGAAAGCATAAGAATTATAGGGGTGGTGATGCTGGCAATATAAGCAATACAGGCTTGACAGTAATAATGAACAGAGGATTTGTAACTATGACAGGATGCTGAACTAGAGATAATATAGTCTCTATGATCCTATAAAAATAATAGTTGGAATTTAGATATGATCCTTTTTCCAACTAGAAAAAAAAAATCATTCTACTTTAGTGAAAGTATGTTTCTGATGATTTGCTGGATTCATTTTCACTAAATAATTAAACTTTAGAATTCCTTAAGAAAGTTAGCCTCAAGGGTAGTTTCAAAAAAACTTCATGAATTTTTTTATATGATTAGTTTACTTAGCAAACCTTAGCCTCATAAATAGGCAAAGGCAAAATATCATTCACTCTCAAACTGAATGATCCCATAAGAACCATGAGTTGGGCGTTATAATTAATGAGATTTTTATTGAACTTTCAATTATTCAGCAGTAGAACATATTAATTTAAAATTATCTGTATGTGTCTTATTCTCCAATAAAATTCTCCGTCTTTCTCTTGCTCTCCTTCATCTACCTTATACCATATCATTCTTTGTTTCTGTTGTTTATTTAATCAATTTTTTAAAAAAAAATAACCATTTAACATTTACTATGTGCCCAAATCTATGTTACATATTATACACTGTCCTTCATCTCATGGAATGTAAACTAATAGGATTTTGACATATAATAGATCAAAAATAGCTACCTCTCAAAATATAAACACATCCATATATACTACAACTTTTTTGTATAATAGTGAATATAATGTTTAATAAAAGATAATTTTTAGATGTTGTTGTCGTTGTTGTTGTTAAGTGCCAATGAGTCTTTTCCTAACCGTAGTGACTCTGTATAGGGTTTCTGAGGAGGGGCTAGTGAGCTTGTACCACAGACCTTGCAGTTCAAATGGCTTTACAGTCTGTCACATTAGCCCACAGTGCCACAGCAGGACTCCCATTTTTTTTTTCTTTTTAATATACCAACATAAAAATAAGACTAAGCAGGTTGTGAGTTTCTTCTGCTGCTGTTACATTAATTGTGGATAACTGTTGTTTAATAGTAGTTATTACCTATAGGTGAGGAGAGAAAAACAAAGCAACACATACCATTAAACAGATGATTTTAAATAGAGATATACACAGCAAAACCTGTGAGGGCTAAAACACATGTGTCTACATGAGTTAGAATCAACTCAATGGCAACTGTTTTTTTCCATTTTAAATTGAGCCTATGCTAAGGTTCTGTAGGATAATATATCTATGTAGAAATACACCTATTTCTTTGTTGTTATTATTTTGTTTTAACATTAAAGGAAATCTAAAAAGAAAAAAAAAGATGCTTTTTTTTTAGAACAATTCAATGGTAGATTGAAATGAGTACACACAGTGTATGTATGTGGTGGTGGTGGTGTGCTGTGGAGTTGGCTCCAACTCATAGCAACCCTGAATAGGGTTTCTGAGGCTGTAAATTTTTCGTGGGAGCGGAAAACCTCCTCTTTCTCCTACGGATCAGCTGCCAGTTTCAAACTGCTGATCTTGAGATTAGCAGCCCAACTTGTAACCATTACGGTACCAGAGCTCTTTCAGAAAGTATATATATAGAGGATGATTTTTAAAAGAATTCTGAGTTGAAACAGAAAACATAAATGTTCATTTAAATGTTCAGAACATTTAGGTATGTTCATAGGCAGAATATGCACCAGCGTAGTAAGAAGAGTGAGAAGATGCATTTGACAACAATTTAAGATAAAAAAAGATCATTCATATATAGGAGCATAAAATGACAAACATCTGGTCAATTGAGTTTTGACAAGAGTGTCAAATCCATTCAAAGGTGAAGGAATAGTTTCTACAACAAATGGTCCTAACAAAACTAGATATCCACTTGCAGAAAATCAAAGCAAGATCCATACCTCCCATCATAAAAAAAAACTAAAAATAGAATGTCATAAATGTTAAATTTAAAACCATAAAGTTCTTGGAAGCAAATATAGGAGCAAAGCTTTGGAACCTAAAATTCTTTTTTTGTGATAATGAATTATCAAATGCACCAATGAGTGTATATTGTTGTTAAGTGCCATCGAGGTAATTCTGACTCACAGCGACCCTGTTTCGGGTTTCCAAGGAGCAGCTAGTGAGTTTGAGCCACCAACCTTGTGGTTCAAACACACCATGAGTTCCAGTGTTTATCTTACAGTGCCATAGAAAGCCAAATAGAAAATGGGACTTCATAAAAGTTATTATTTATGTTTACTAAAAGATTATCAAGGAAATAAAAAGACCACCTACAAAATCTTTGGGAATGGTATAACTGATAAGGATCTACTATCTAAAATGTACATACATTTTCAATAAACTAAGAACAAAAAGACTAGTAACCCAATCAAAAATTGCCATAATAGAATGGGAAAAAATTTTGAAACAGAGAATACAGATGTTCAGAATATTTAGATATGTTCACATGCAGAATATACAGCATATTTTGCACCGATGCATCAGACACAGGATTAATTTCTAAAATATATAGGAAACTATAATACCTCTACAAGAAAAAGACAAATAACCCAATTAAAAAATGGGCACAGGACATGAACAGACACTTCACCAAGGAGGAGATCCAGGCAGCCAACAAATATATGAAGAAATAATCATGATCACTAGCTATTAGAGAGATGCAAATCAAAACAACAATGAGATGTCATCTCACACCAGTAATAACAGATAAAGATCAAAAAAGTAAAGGACAATAAATGTTGGTGAGGATGCAGAGAGACTGGGACCCTTCTAGATTGATGGTGGTATTGCAAAATGGCTCAACCACTCTGGAGAGCAATATGGCGCTTACTTAGAAGGATAATAGCTAATGTTTCAGCAATTCTTCTACGTGGTATTTATCCACAAGAAATACAACCCATAACACTAGTAGATATATGCACACCAATGTTCATAGCAGTACTATTTACAACAGCAAAAAGATGGAGACAGCCTAAGTAATCATCAATGGAAGAATGGATAAACAAATTGTGGTACATACACACAATGGAATATTATGA